ATCATTTTTTATTTTTGAAACCTTTTTTTGTACCTTATGTTCGTGGATGCCATTTTCCCCTATTATGTTTAAAGGACAAAGTCAAATAATGCCAAAAATTTGTTTTTTTCTGCACTTCAAGTCAAAAATTTCCAGCAGCGAAATGAAAAATAAAAAAATAAAAATAAATACACAAATAAATAAGGAAAAATAAGTAAATGAATAATAGAAAAGAGAAATACATTTTGTGGCAAAATTGTTTCTAAAGTTCCTAAAATACAGCCATTATTTCCTGATGATATGGAACAATTGTTAGTCTAATAAATGGCGAAAAGTTGAAATAACATTTTTTCGGTAAAAAATATTACAAAATATTGCTCTCAATCCACAAATGTGATCGAAATAGTTTGCAAATGATTTTATTGTATCCTGATATATGTACATATGTATCTTTTCTTAACAGACGGATTTTCAGAGAATAATTTAGTGGTAAAAACCCTACTTTTTTGGCAAAGTTTTGAATTGAAAATATTGTATGGGGCCATGGGCCAATTTGGCAAAACGGTTAACACCATTGAATTCAGCGTACCCCAATTATCTAGAAATGACCTACACACATATGTATCTCCCGTCCGTCGGATTTTTCAACTACAACAGTGTTGTTTGAAAGTTGTTCATACGCTGTGTTAACCTATTTATTGGTTATGTGTATGCAAGTGGAACCTTCGCCTAATTGACCACAAAATGGATCAGTTGCTATTTTTTGGCAATATGTACACGCTTCTATAACAATAAAAATTACAAAATAAATTTTTTACTTTTAATTGTCATGTGAAAATGAAATTTCCGTCGCGATTGATAAATGGTGAATGCTTTCGGTTCTGAATATTGCATCTCATGAAAATATTCCATAAAAGCTCATCTAAAAAATTTAAGTTGCGCCCAGCGTACGCTCCTCAGCTAGCAATTGCATAATTACGTCTCAATTGCCTACTCAGTCCAAAGTAGCAATGCTGATTTCCAAATAAACAAAGTCCTCTACACTCTAAAAAATCTGTTTAAAATCGCGACTATAAATCGAGTATATTTTTGTTTATTTTTTTAATTTTTTGGTAAATTTACACGACGAATATGTATTTTTCTCGTGTACACATTTTCGTATGTAAAAATCATTTTTGTTAGCGGCTTTACACAATTCTACGGGTAAAATCAAACAGCA